CATCGTAACACGCTAAGCTCCCATATGATGATCTTTACCCCGATTTCCCATTTGATCAGCGAATTCGAGAAAAATGGGGTAAATTCTGAGCCTTCATGTTACAAGTGAATAATACCCGAGGTTCCCATATGCCCGAATTTCCATTTTTTTTTTCAGTGAATTTGACAAAAAAACGGGGTAAAATCTAAGAGTTTACTTTTTTTTTTAATAGATCCCAAGTTGCCATAGCCAATCCTTAACCCGATTTTCTTTTTTTTTTTCAGTAATTCTAAAAAAAACGGAATTAATTTTGAGAATTCGGCTTTTTTTTTTCTCATACCCTAAGTTCCCATGATATACCCGATTTTCCATTTGATTTTTTTTTTTTTAGAAAAACGAGGTAAATTCTGAGCATTCATGCTACAAGTGTTTTTTTTTTAAAGTTCCCGTATTATATCTTTACCCCAATTTTCATTTTTCAATTTTTTTTTTAAAAACGGGGTGAAATCTAAGAATCCACTCTCCAAATGAAATATTTTTTTTTTTGCTATATCCAGTCTTCACCCCGATTTTCCGTTTTTCAATGAATTTTTTTTTTACGGGATTAATTCTGCGAATTCATCCGCAAGTGGCTAACACGCTTTTTTTTTTTATGATGATCTTTACCCCGATTTCCCATTTGATCAGCGAATTCTTTTTTTTTTGGGTAAATTCTGAGCCTTCATGTTACAAGTGAAAAATACCCGATTTTTTTTTTTGCCCGAATTTTCATCTTTTTTTTCCAGTGAATTTGACAAAAATTTTTTTTTTAAAATCTAAAAGTTCATTTTCCGAATTAATAGATCCCAAGTTGTTTTTTTTTTTCCCTAGCCCGATTTTCCATAAGTTCCCATATGCCATCTTTACTTTTTTTTTTCATTTGATCAGCTAATTCGGGAAAAACGGGGTAAATTCTGAGCTTTTTTTTTTCAGGTGAATAATACCCGAAGTTCCCACATGCAATTTTTATCCCTTTTTTTTTTTTTTTTTTTTCAGTGAATTTGACAAAAAACGGGTTGAAGTCTATTTTTTTTTTCTCCGAATTAATTAGATCTCAAGTTGCATTTTTTTATGAATTCTTTTTTTTTTGGATAATTCTACGAACTCATCCGCAAGTGGCTAACACGCTAAGTTTCCATTTGCCATCCGCTTTACCTGGTTTTTCCTTTTGATCAGCGAATTCTATTTTTTTTTTGTAAATTCTGTGACGCAGATAAATTATCATAATTTTGACCTCTTTTTTTTTTTCACCTCCGGCAGATCAGCGAAGCGTCAAAAATATATAATTTTATTCCGACGAACC